TCTGGTCTCAACTGACTTCTCTACCTAAATTTAGAATTCAAAAGAGACTCAGCGACAGAAATATTGAGAAACCAACTGCCCAGCTCACTGAACAAAGCCTTCTGCGCAGCTGAACTTCGACTAACTTTCTTCACGAAACCAGTGATTCGCATTAAATTGAAAGATAAGCCTCATCAATGTACATTTACCATTTGGACCTGTTCGTGTAGAGCTAAGTATGTCAGCCATGCCCAGCGTTTGCTATTCAAGCGTTTCATTGAACACTCACCCTAATGGTTTTACAAGGGGGAAATAAGATCCCCCACAGCTCTATCTTGGAACAGCTGATGGAATCTGGACACTAAGCTAACCCACGTACCAACTTCAAAGTCATCTACAGCATACGTGGGAGTCTTGCTAAACATGTACGAATCAAACTTCTCCAAACACAGAAGTAGTGACAATTCACATGTTAAATCCCGAAGTTCATACTCAAAAGAAATTTGTTCAGTCATTAAATCTGCAATGGACATAGTCTGTCCGGACACTGGACTCTCATTCAATTGTCTGTCTGTTTTCGACATAGAACTTTGGACATATGTGCGGCGGTTCGAGTAGCCACATTCCATGTAGCACACAAAGCAAGAGAAGAAAGTAGAAGAAAAGCATAAAAGAGACAGTAAGTTGGGATATGAGGCAAGACGAATAGTAATATCAAAGAACACTATTTTGAGCCATGTCATCAATTGTTTCCAGCCATTAGTTCCTTCCGTCCCGAGGACCCCAACCAGGAAGTCTACACCTTCCTACATGGCTTAAACTAATTGTTGTGGATTTCATTGACTGATGAGCCCTGTTTTTGTTTGACCGCCTCTATCTCTTTTCCAGCTTGACCCTATGTCAGCTAACATTGCCCTTCAAGGAAGGCAATGACTAGGCATACGTAACACATGTCCTAACCATCTCAATCGATGTAATTTCACATTTTCGTCGATTGATTTCCCCTCCTTACCTAGCACTCGACCGATGTCTAATCTCAATATTGCTCACCTAATTATACCACTTCACACGGGAGATAGAACGCAGGCACCTATGATCAAAGACAGCTAGCTAATTTTTTCATGTCTTCCACTCTCAATGGCCAGGTCTCACAGCCATAGAGGAGGAAGGAGAAGACTGTTGAGCAGTAAACACGCCCTTCGGTCAATAGGCAGATGTCACGTCTACACCAGAGACGGTGTAAACTGGCATATACGAAACTAGCCCTCTGTATTCGTGTTGAGATTTCGTCAGAGATCAACCTGTTGGGGTTGAATTTAGTTGAACTCTACTCAGCCTCATCAGTTATAATACGTCATTTGGAAACTTGACTGCACCAAACAAACGGCTAGGCATATTATACTAGTTACCCGCTAGTGTCCAATCAAGGCATCCAATAAAGTCCTAATAAAGGTGAATTGTGAGCCTGAATAGCTATTGTAGTAGTAACGTACCTAACTGAAGCACTGGGTGATGCGAGTTCGAATCTCAGGAGGGACATGAGTTCCTTCAAGGTTGTAGATACGCCTTGCTGACCAGTGAGTGTCAACTAGCACGAAACTTGCGTCCAAGGCTTCTTACCGATTGTCTCCAATCTTGTGATATCACCAGTTACGTTAGTGAATTTACTTATCTAATTTTATTTTAGTTCCTACCTAATTACCACTCCCTACATTAGGTGATATGTTATCTAAAATTTAGAATTTTGATAACACATCTTTGAAAATGTTCCTCTAGGTTCTAAGAAATATATATATATGTTCATCTGATCGTACTGTTTGAGAATGATATCGCCGAAAAGATGAACTCTTCTCTGAACGTATTTTCTTTTATTAAATTTTCTGAAATTACCCGTCAGAAGGAGAATATTCCAACATGCTAACACCTAACTGCATTGCTCGAATCCTGGCCGAATTCACGAATCAAGTTATTGTTCATATACCTCAAGGTATTTCATTCGGATTCAGGAGTTTCTGCAGTGTAGTAGCAGCCTTCATACATGGATCCTTTAGTTGTGTAAAATTCACCCCCCCTCTGTCTCTCTCCTATTAGTATTATTATTACCATCTAATTGATGTGTGGGTTGTAAAGTAGCTTTCGGTAACCATAGCTCTCATGCCAATAGGGTCAGTATCAGTTATATGTGAAGTCTTTTCAAAATTCCATGCAATGCGAAAATCCCATGTATGAACAATATACTAGTTTTAAAAAATATTAACTTCACCTATAACTGTTAAAAAGTTTTTAAATCGCAAGTTGAAGTAATCGGTTTGATTCATCGGCTTAAACACTTGTTGCTTAGCTGATGGGTCATGAATTCAAGTTCCATTCCATGTACGTCAATCTGGGCAACTTAGTTTTATTATTATTTTCTTTAATTCCTAGAGGAACATAGGGATTCAGTCGCACAACTTCATTGCTTTCGCTTCTTCACCAACGTTTCCACCTAGCTACACGTCTACCCACATGCCTCCATCTCCTCTTCGCATCAACTCTTTGTCCTCCATGTCACCCTCACAATGACCACCAACTCACCGCTTCCCGTTCAGGTTCCAATTGAGCGATAGCCTCACTCACTCGATGGTTTGTTTTCTCAGAGTATGGCCAATCCAATACACCTCCATTTCTTCCTGCATATTTGTTGCACAATTGCTTCCTAATGGGTTGGTTGGTTCGTTGATTGCTAGAGATCCCTCACACTATTGCTGATCTTCTCTGACCGGCCATTTGATCTTCAGTAGTATTGAGCTGTTGATGACAGCTTTTGAACGAGGTGTATAGTTTGTTGGAAGTGGCCTTCGTGATGCAGTGCCGAATCTCTGATCTGTGTGGTGAGTATCACTGACTTCACATTGGAGTTGAGAATCTGGATCTCATTTTTCATGCTGGGCAGTACTGTTGATCTCCACACAGACTTGAGAGTAATGGAAGCTTGCCTTGTTTTCCCGATCCGCGCTTTGATGATATCGTCATCAGTTCCGTCCGCCTGTAGTTGAAACGATGCTTCCCAGGTAGTTAGGTAGGTGGGTATGTAGGTAGTTGGTAAATGAGGTTGCTTCTCTCAGATTCCCCCCATTTATGCTGATTGTTGTCTGTTGTCTGTTGTTGTAACTGATGGTGTTGGTGTTGCTCTTGGTGAGGAATCTTCATCACCTCTGTTTTCTCTATGTTCACCTGAAGTTCCTCTTATGTTTGATGCTTCTTCTACCAGCTTGTTGCCTTTCACTTACATATCTTCCAGTTTTTGTGAGAAATCAGACATATATAATCGACGAGGTCCATATCCTCAAAGTGTTCTGTGTAAGTCGACTTTATGCCTGTTTCCTCGTTGCCCACTGTGTGGCTGTCGCATTATCCAGTCCACCGCAATCAGGAAAATGATTGGAGAGATAGTAGGCAACCTTGTCTTATTCTCGTTTTCACTTCGTAGGATCCCGTGAGTTTCCGGTTGTGGATTAATTGGCAGGCAGCATTATGTAATAATTGTTGGATGAATTGTATAATTGTTGGTGCCACCGAGAACATAATTGCTTTGCCTTAGGGTCTGTCACAATCAGTTTGACAAGTGCTTTATTTCTATGTCAGTCCCCAAATACATTAGTGACAATCACCTTAAAAATAGTGACGATAAATATACCTTTTAAGTTGACTTGTATGCATTAATAAGTCCATAATTATCCAGGATTAATAGCTGAAGCCGTTATGCGAAGATTAGAATTAATAGCTCTACCTATAATTAAACCGAAAATCATGATACGTTACGTTGATGATACATTTGTAATAATTAAGAGAAATGATTTAGAATATACTCATAAATTAATAAACAACATATTTGAAGACATCAAATTCACAAGAGAAGAAGAATTAGATAACAAAATCCCATTTTTAGATGTTTTAATCAGGAGAACCAACACAGGAGATTTAGAGACACAAGTATATAGAAAATCAACGCACACAGATCAAATACTCAACTATACTAGCAATAATCCAATTACTCACAAACGAAACTGTGTGTAGACATTGTTTAAAAGAGTTCAAACACACTGTAGCACTCCAGCGTTGAAAAGAATGGAAGAAAAATACCTACAAACGGTCTTCAAAAAGAATGGTTATCCACAAAATTTCATCAAAAAGTGTTTAAAGTCGAATCAAAACACCAACAAAGAACCATCATCAAAGACCACAAGAAAATTCATCCTACCATACATGAGAAATATCTCTGAAATAACAGCTAGAATACTGAAACCGTTTGATATAGATATAGCACACAAACCAGTCAAATCGCTTAATTCGATATTATGCAAACCGAAAGATCCAACAGAAAAAGGGGATAAAATTAATACCATTTACAAAATAAATTGTGTGAACTGTAACAGACATTACATCGGCCAAAGTGGGCGTCCCCTTCGAATCAGAATCCAAGAACACAAATCAGCTGTGAAAAGACACGATATATATTCTTTAGTATCAATGCATATAGATAATTATGGTCATCAATTTGATTGGGATAATGTCAAAATCTTAGACAGAGGAAACACCAAAAGTGCCAGGGAATTCCTAGAAGCCTGGTACTCAAACGAAAATGCAATTAACAAGCACGTTAATATAGACGAAATATACCAACTAATAAAAAGTAAATCAGGTGACCAGAAAGTTTAAAATCCAAGTCAATAGAAAATGGTCAATACATATGTAAAGATGGTTACCGGGAGACGCAATTCTATCACTCATGAAGAAATTTAAATCATTTCACTTTATGCTAAATATTGCGCTGAAAGGGGATGTTGTCCAGAAGGACGACGAAAGCTCCTCCGCAACTAAACCAACCAGCTCAGAGAACACTATTAATTGCAGAAAACACATTTATTCAGTACATAAAACTACTTTAAATCAACTTTATTTACTGAACTGTATTCACTGATTATCAACCTAACTTAGCAGAAAATAATAAATAAATAAATTCCATTTCAAAACAAGACTGACTACAATAGCTCCGCATCTGATTTACCTCTTTTCCATACTTTCCAGTCGGGAAACACATTATCCAGTAAGTCAACAGCACTAACTATCTCCTCTTTCGTCATGCCTTCAAGGCGTAGAACGCGTTCTTTGCCATATTTGCAACCACTGTCAAACGTGTTCAAACCCATCCGCAGACGACATCTTAAACCAGATGTTGTTAAACGATGTCTTGATATAATAAATTCTTTTATAACTTCTTTAGTTCCAGGTAGAAATATATTGAAACTATATGGAAAGTGAACAGAGTACTCTTCACAGCAATTAATACACTTCTGTACATTTTTCACATCTTTATTAGTTATTAACTGTTCATCAGCATTATTTTTTGGCTTGCTAGCATCAGCTTGAGTTTGTTGTACTGCAGAGTTTGATATATTTCTATTGGAAGTCTTCCGATGTTTTTTCCACATAGTATGAACTTCCGAAAGCTATTCACACTTATTTAAGTCGGCTATCACCTTAGCCTTGATAAAGAACATTCATAAATTTCAATCGTATTACGACATTAATCGAGTTAACTGCAAAAATGGCATTTTATGTAGTTTCAAGCTAGTATCGATCGTCTAGGAGTTTGAAATTATCATATATAATATAATCTATTTTCACGCCGAAAATGGTAAGTACTATGAATGTACAAGTCCATGCGAATATTAAATTCACGTGTTACAGTTACCTAGTTTTTTTTCTAAATTGTCTCTTATCTATAAACACATCCTATTAAATACCAGAAGATACATCCCCATATATGCCTTGAGTTCCTTTATTATTTTTATTATTGTTCCCTTGGGTTCCTAGTGGAACATAGGGCTTCAACTGCACGTCTCCACTTGCTTCTGTCTTCTGCTGTGCTTTTCACTTGCATCCATGTTAGTCCATACTGTTTCAACTCCTCTTCACACGATCTCCTCCATGTCACCCACTTGGACGTCCCACTCGCCGCTTCCCTTTCGGGTTCCACTCGAGCGATGGCCTGACGCGCGATGTCACCCAGCGGCCTCCTCAGCGAGTGTCCAATCCATCTCCACTTTCTCCTGCATATTTGTTGGGCGATTGGTTCTTGTTTTGTTTGTTCCCATAGTTTCTTGTTGGTGATTCTTTCCGGCCATCTGATCTTCAGTATAGAGCGAAGACAGTTGTTGATAAAGGTCTGCAACAGGCTGTTGGAAATATTCTTTGTGACCCTCCGCCAAGTTTCTGATCCGTATAGAAGAAGTGACTGACTTGACGTTTGTATTGAAAATCCGAATCACTTTGTTGTTGATGCTGAGTTGAGTGACGAAGATTTCCAGATTGGTTTCAGGTTGATGAATGTGTTTCTCGCCTTCCCGATTCTCGATTTGACATCCTCGTCCGTATCTCCTGTAGTTGAGACAATGCTCAATTGATGTGAATGAAGTAACCTCTTTCAAATCCCTCCCGTTGATGGTGATTGGCGCTGGATGTTGCTGGTGCTGTTGTTGTTGTTGTTGGTTGGTTATTTTCATAACCTCCGTCTTGTCTATGTTCACCTGGAGTCCTGTCTTTGCTGCTTCTTCAACCAGTTTGTCGGTTTTCGCTCGTAGGTCTTCGATTTTGTGTGACATCAAACATAAATCATCCACGCGCGAAATCCAGGTCTTCTTCTGGGTTCTTCACGTCGGTCCAGGATATCCCTGTCTTCTCGTTTCTCACTCACAGTCTGACGCATAATCCAGTCCAGTCCACCACAATTAGGAATATCATTGGTGATAATAAGCACCTTTGTCTGACTCCTGTGTTTACTCCAAACGCCTCGCTGAGTTTTCCGTTGTGGATCACTTCACATGTGCTGTTGTCGTACAGTGTTGAAAAGGTTGATGAATATTTGGGTACGCCGTGTCTCGATAGTTTCCAAATTCTTCCGGTAACGCTGTCGAAGGCCTTCTCAAAGTCTATGAAGTTGAGGTAGAGGTTTGATTGCCATTCCATGCTTTGTTCGATGATGATGCGGAGAATTCCAATTCGGTCAGAACATGATTTGCCTTTCCTGAATCCAGCTTGTTCTGGTCGGAGTTCTGTATCCAGTGTGTCCTTTATTCTCTCCAGGATGATGCGACTCAGAATTTTACTTGGCGTCGACAGGAGCATGATTCCTCGCCAGTTCTTGCAGAGTCCCAGGTCGCCCTTCTTTGGTAGTTTCACTAGGTAACCTTTCCTCCAGTCAGTAGGCAGCTTTCCCTCCTTCCAGACCTTTTGCAATAATGGAGTCAGCATATCTGCTGTCGTCTCTGGGTCCGCTTTCAGTGCTTCAGGGGGTATTCCATCTGGTCCAGCTGCTTTTCCAGCTTTCAGAAGCTTGATTGCATTCAAGACTTCAGCTTTTGTTGGAGGATTGGTGTCAACTTGCAGTTGTGTACGCGCTGTTGTTGGTATTTCTGGACGGGTTGCAGGTGGTGGTCGGTTCAAGAGTCCTTTGAGTTCCTTTACTCGGACTTATAATGTACATATTCAATAAGAACTGACACACTGCTAATAAAAAGAAAGTACATTTTTTGGTATGGTGATTTCTTCTAATTAATATCGTTTGATTTCAGAGTTCCAAAGTTCATTGACAGAAGGAAGTATGGAGTTCACTACGGCATGTTTGACAGAGAACCTCAGAAACTAACTGCGTTCCTTGGCTGTCGAATGATTATTCCTAGTTTTCTTTTTGCCTTTTCTTTTCATTAATGTCTGGATGGAGGTTATTCATGAGTTAAAATGTAGCAAGGATCGCTTGACAGTCAAGGAAAGCAGTAGGTCTCTGCAGTACTATATTAAGCCTGCTATAGGGAATGCGAAAGTTTCTTTTCATTGAAACCTAGAATGCGCAATTTAGTCATTTTAGTAGGCTGCCTTATCACTGTTGAACTTTGCACGAAACAGCATCGGTTTAAGCTACTACACGGTTAAAGGGATGCACTCGAACTAAAATGGACAGATAAGTACCTAGGAGAAAATGGTTAAATGCAGATTAATGCCCAGTTTTAGAATATAGACTGTGACAAACGTTGAATAAATCCAGCCATCTACATTTATATGCATCTTCACTGTGATATCGTCTGTTATTCGTCCTTGAAGAAAGATATCTCATGGACGTCTTCCAAAAGAATGGATATCCATGGAATTTCATCAAAAGACATATACCCCCAAGCCAACCTACCAAATCAAAGGCCCCCAAGGAAAGCACAAAGAAAATCGCCCTACCATATATAAAGGACATCTCAGAAATCACCGCAATACCCGTCAAACCTTTAGGAATTGACGTCGCACACAAACCAACAAAATCACTTCACTCAGCTGGCTCTATGTCAACCAAAAGACTCAACAACGAAAGAAGATAAAACCAACATCATCTACAAAATAAATTGTAACAAGTGCGAAAAACACCACATTGGCCAAAATGAACGTCCCCTTTGTCCTTATATCCATGAATATAAGCTGGCCGTCAAAAGACATGACATCCACTCCCTCATATCGCCTCACTGAATACAGACAACCACGGACATCAATTCGACTGGGATAACCAGCGTTCAAATATTAGACAGAGGAAACACCAAGAATGCTAGAGAATTTTTAGAAGCCTGCCTGGTATTCCAGTGAATCATCAATCAATAGACAAATCGAGATAGACAAAATTTACCAACCGATAAGAAGGAAATCTCACACACTAAGGGTCAAAGTTCAAGTCAAAGAAACAATACACACAAAAACAACTGATCATGTTCAAGGTCACGAGAGGAGATGACTAATAAACTCGTGGAGAAATCTGAAAGCTCACTTCAAATTGAAGTATGCTCTGAAGATATTGCCTACAAGGGCAATAAAATCTTTGCGAATACACTATCCAGCTCAGAGAACACAACCACATCAAAATCATCCACCTTAGCTACAAATCTTCTCCATCATATCTAAATCTGTATCACTCGATAATTTTCCACTGAAACAATTTCAGGATTCTAATAATTTGTAAAACCTCTGCTTTTCTCTACCTGTGAAAAGATAATTATAGGGGAGCAGAAACACAACAAATATTCTATACCTGTGTCGCAACAAATCAACAAATTTCTTAGCAGATAAAAAAGTTGTATTTCCTTACTTAGTCAAAAAGTATTGATGGGATGAGGATAAAAGTGATCTCAAGGTGTTTTCAAAAGCAAATGACGCAGTAGCTGATATTCCAGCTGTGTGAAAATTCCTTAAACCAACAATGAACAAATTGCTGCTGTACAAAAGATACTTCGATGACACTTTTATAGTTTGTCAAGACGATTCCGATTTAAATTGCATCTTACAGGAGTTTAATGACTGTCATCCTTCAATTAAATTCACAATGGAAGTTGAAAATAAATCAAAGATTCCATTCTTGGACGTCAAACTGACAAGAAGAGACGACGGAACTCTGAAAAGATCTATCCATAGAAAACCAACATGGAATGGCCAGCTGACAAACTTCCACAGTTGGATACCTATCAGCCGTAAAAGAGCTCTCATCATCTCGCTAGCCCACAGCACCAGAAGAATTTGTAGTGATGACTGTTTAGAAGAAGAGCTCCTATTCCTAAAAAGCATCCTGATTCCAAACGGATACTCGCCGCGTTTCGTGGAGAAGAACATGAAACCAAGGCCAAAAAGAGAAGAATACACTTCAGTGCAAAAGAAGATACTCTATCTGAATCTTGAATTCAGGGGAGACCTAGCAGCAGATATCCTAAAAAGGAGAATCTCCAAATCCCTGAAGAAGACTTTTCCGGCAGCAACTCTAAGAGTGACATTGTCTAGCCGCCCACTTCTTCGGAGCAATGGGAAGGGCAAACTGTCGCATATGACCAATTCAATGTGCGTCGGTGGCACAGTGGCTAGGACTCTCGCCGACCATGCACATGGTCCGGAGTTCGATCCCCTGCCGACGCACACAGGATATCTATGGTCGGCCTGCAAAATTTGGGCTACCGGTATTCATGCTGAAAATGCCATACTTGTACTGAAAATACGGTGTGGCATCAAGCTGTAAGCAAAAATAAAAAATAAATAAATAAAAATTTACCAGTTCACCTGCTCGTGCGGAGCAAGGTACATAGGTCGTTGTATGCGCGTCCTTTCAAAACGTCTTAGAGAACACCACCTAGCATGGCTGTAAAAAGGAGGCACCGGTTCAATCAGAAGTGCCATTATTGAGCATCTGATCAATACCTCCCACAACATCTCTGCTGAACTTCTTATTCTTCTCAGTCTAATGTTCCAATGGGTATTTTCCACGATTTTAAAAAATTCGATAGAACAACTTTACTACGATTGCGGATATAGACAACTGGCAGACGAATTTCTTCTCTTGTCATTTTCGCTTACTTGATAGGATGGAACTAGTTGGTATTGTGATCTTATTTGTGTCTTTGAAGAAATGTTGTGATCT